TTTTAAAGATTATTGTTTGAGGTTCCCTGAAAGGCTGGATTAAAAAAAAAATTTTTTTTGTGGTATTCCTAAACTTTTTATTTATACCCTACACAACTATGTTGTCAGGGTATTATAGCTTTGTGCAGCCCCAAAAGTTTGTAACGCCGCGAAATATTGATCCTAGACCCACCTTTAAGTATACCGATCGTCATATCTCGACTAGCTGAATCGATCTAGGCATGTGTCTCCGTCCGTCTGTCCATTATAATTTGTAAACACGATACAGGCCACAGTTATGGACCAATCTTTACAAAATTTTGCATGTAGGATGGGTTCTGGCCAATGAAGACCCCTATTGTTTTTGGAAAAGATCGGTTAATATTTAGGGAATGAAATGGAACAAAAACTTTATTTTTGTCGGTTTTTCTGGTCGCTCCAGAGGCCGCAATTATGGCCCAAACACCACGAATTTTTGCATGGAGAAGGGGATCGGGCCAAAGAATAATCATGCCTGTTTTGATAAAGATTTGTCAATATTTAGCGGCTCAAATGGTCACTGACTTTTGTGTGGAAAATGACAAAATGTGTATTCTATGACGTATATATTTACTCCTGATGGACATAAACCCGATAAGTTGAAGGTTAATTGATACCAATTGCATTGTCGTGTGTACTCGGATGTGGCAGTTACACTTAAATATTTACAGGTCCTTACGTATTCATATATTATTTAGTAACCCATTATCACACAAGAGGGCGGAAATATAGCGCCGAAATTTTCCATGAGGATCCAGGTAAGGTCATGGACAACGCCTATAATTTTCGGTGATGATCAGATAATAATATTGGGATGAAGTGAACCGAAAACTTAATTTTTTGTGTGAGTCGATTTCTAGGCCACTATTGAAAGCCGAACATCACAACACAACCCACGGTGAAGGGGATCTGGGTATTAGTAATATTTGTAGACGTCTAGTCGGTCTAGGGGGATGCAAATATCGCGAAATATTGTCCAAGCTCAGAATATCGAACCATAGAAAATTGGATTTTCGTGGAAGTTGAGTAGGGTATCATATGGTCGGCCCCGTCCGACTATACTGCTCCGCTCACAGGTTAGATAATATTTTTGAGGCCTTTCTAGAGGCGTGGATTATTAAAGCATAGTTTTAGGTTGTTTTTTTAAATATTTTTTGAGGCCCTCTCAAAGCATGAATTATTTAAAGTATATTTTTTAGACTCTCTATTTAAAAAAATATCGTTTGAGACCCTCTCTTAGGCGTGGAGTTTTCAAAATATATATTTTTGAGACCCTGTTATAGGGGTGGATTTTTTGAAAAATATTTTGGAGGCTAACAGTTAAAGCGAATTAAAATTTGTGTATCTTCGTTTTATTAGTAATAGTATTTCAGACAAAGGGACCTCAAGTCGTATGAATACCATTAATGCTCATACGCTCCCTACATACCACCGGTCAAGGTAAACATTTTTAACAAAGCAAATTAAGACGTGCATATTAAGAGAACTTGTATTTTGAATTCAAGTTTTTAGTTTTTAAATTGAATATTATTTCATATCTTATATATATATTCTCCCTTACTTATAACACTCCTCCTCTTATTAGCGCTATATATACTGCTTTGGAGATATGATTATAATCACACCTAATTTGAGCATTCACAAGTTCATAAACCACACACACACACAATTTTTATTTATGTAAATATTATGTTGTTGTTATTTCTATGTTATTTGCTATCAATATTTTATACATAACTGGTCATTGATTCTAGTAATTTTCCATTCCTACATAAAATGTAGGCGTTTAGTGACCACTTCAATGAAGCTTTATTTACATAATGGATTTTGTACGTTTTTTGAAAATTCTGTAGAATCCTGGCCTTAGGAATAATTATGGTGGTGGTTTTAAATTCCATGTGACTAATTTCTGATATAACACAATCTGTATTTTAATTATTTTTAGAGAATTTGTTTTTTTTTACAATGTTTAGGGATTGCTATGCGAAGAGGGAGATTTTTCGATATAAAGATTTAAATATATGTAATAAATGATTTAATTTATATATGATTTTAAATTACATTTACATTATGCATTGATTTGTATTCGTATTACTTATTACGTGAAAGGAACTCCCTAGCGTATGATTATCGGCAATAATCATACGCACCCATGAACCACTTCAAGATTATTTTTCCACGGTCAAACAAAATGAGAATTTTAGCAAGACCTATTAAGACATGAATATTTTATAATATATATTATAAATAAAATTTTTTTTGGCGCCAATTTGAGGCGTCTGGTTAGTTGCCCACTCTCGGAAAACCCAACCTACTATGAAAAAGCAAACACAAAGAAAACCAAACGCCCCTAATGTTGACGACCCCCGCAAACGTATAAAGGACCACGATCTGTGAATCTGCACTTGGAATGTGCGCACGTTGTACAGAACAGTCGCACTGCGTGCACTTTGGCAGATGTACTCTAGAAGTACAAATCCGATATTATTGCCTTACAGGAAATTCGATGGAAAGGCACCGGCGTAAGTAAATCAAATGATTACGCCCTGTATTATAGCTTCCATGAAACGAGACATGAATTTGGATGCGGGTTTATGATGACTGATATGAAAAACGCAGCGTATAGGGCAACCCTGCGGACAGTAGCAACACGTAATGCGATGGAGAACTATCGGGAGAAAAGGAAAGGAGGAGAAACGTATTTTCAGAAAAAAATAAGAAAGAGCAAGAAAAACGTGAGCGTAAGCAAATCGAGATGTACAGGAGTCAGAATGAAGTCCGAAAATTCTACCAACGGGTAAACACCAAACCGAAGGCTTTGGTGCAGGCACATTCTCCTGTAGAGATAAAGAAGGAAACCCTGGTGACAGATACAGACAGTGTGCTGAGGATCTGGAAGGAGCATTTTGAAAAACTTCTGGTATCAAATAGTGGCGGTGAAGAGGATACCCCAGAACCACTAATAGATGACGGTATAGAGTGTATACCACCTAGCCAAGATGAAGTCAGAGTAGCAATTAATCGGCTCAAGAACAATTAAGCAGAAGGAGCCGATGGGTTACCAGCCGAGCTATTGAAGACTGGTGGCCAGATGCTGGTCAGGAGCATGCACCATTAGTACAATTTGGCTGATTAGTACAATTTGGCTAGAAGAATGCATGTCCAATGATTGTAACCTCAGCATCCTGTGTCCCGTGCACAAAAAAGGAGACAAGACGATATGTGCCAACTATAGAGGAATAAGTCTCCTTGCCATTGCATATACAGTGCTATCCAGCGTAATTTGTGAACGACTGAAGGCAATGGTCAATGACATTATTGGACCACACCAATGTGGCTTCATATCTGACAAATCCACCATTGACCAGATTTTCACTCTGCGCCAAATCCTGGAAAAAAAACCACGAAAAACACATCGACACATTCCACCTATTCGTCGACTATAAAGCCGCATTCGACAGCCCTATCCGTTCAGTGGTGTATAAAGCCACGTCAGCGTTTGGCATTCCTGCAAAATTAATTCGGCTATGCAGAATAACTTTAACAGGCACAAGATCAGCAGTTAAAGTCGGAAATGACCTCTCGGAGCCCTTTAATACCAAACGAGGATTCAGACAAGGTGATAGTTTGTCGTGTGACCTTTTTAACATCTGCTAAAGTGGGTCTGGCAGTAAGCGGCGAGAAGACCAAGATGATGGTATCAGCACGCAAAACGTCCAGTAGACTCGGACCAACTGTGGAACTTGAGATACTTTAAGGCGTGGATTTTTTATGTATTAATTTTTGAGGGATACTTTAAGGCGTGGGTTTTTAAATATTATTTTTTGAGGCATTCTTTAAGGCCTGGATTTTTAAATATTACTTTTTGAGCCATTCTTTAAGGCCTGGATTTTTAAATATTACTTTTTGAGGCATACTTGAAGGCGTGGATTTTTAAATTTTACTTTTTGAGGCATACTTGAAGGCGTGGATTTTTAAATATTACTTTTTGAGGCATACTTGAAGGCGTGGATTTTTAAATATTACTTTTTGAGGCATACTTGAAGGCGTGGATTTTTAAATATTACTTTTTGAGGAATACTTGAAGGCGTGGATTTTTAAATATTACTTTTTGAGGCATACATGAAGGCGTGGATTTTTAAATATTACTTTTTGAGGCATACTTGAAGGCGTGGATTTTTAAATATTACTTTTTTAGGCATACATGAAGGCGTGGATTTTTAAATATTACTTTTTGAGGCATACCTGAAGGCGTGGATTTTTAATTAGTACTTTTTGAGGCATACCTGAAGGCGTTGATTTTTAATTATTACTTTTTGAGGCATACCTGAAGGCGTGGATTTTTAAATATTACTTTTTGAGGCATATCTGAAGGCGTTGATTTTTAATTATTACTTTTTGAGGCATACCTGAAGGCGTGGATTTTTAAATATTACTTTTTGAGGCATACCTGAAGGCGTGGATTTTTAAATATTACTTTTTAAGGCATGGGTTTTAAGAATTACTTTTTGAGGCATGGGGTTTTAAGAATTACTTTTTGAGGCTTGGGTTTTAAGAATTACTTTTTGAGGCATGAGGTTTTAAGAATTATTTTTTAGGCCTGGATTATTGAATATTTTTGAGGTATCATTTCAGATTAGGATCATTGAATATTTTTGAGGCATTCTTCAATGATTTGAATTTCTTTGAATTGTATCGAATACTCTGTCATTATCTTGTCTACATTGGACATATCATTCCAAATTTTTAAATTAATAACGAACTCCTTAGCGTATAATTATATTTAATAATGTAGAGTATTCGTCGTATCCTTGTTTCCTTTACTATTAATCGGTATACTAAACTCATCATGATTTCAACTTATAAAATTCATAATAAACTCCTTGGCGTATAATTACTATTAGTACTTATACGCACCCTATTTCATATATACAATATTTTGAATTATAAACATATTTTAAGAGATTTCTACCCTCACTTACCTGCGTCTCGGTAACATTTAACAGCTTCGCCATTTCTGTTCGTTCACTAGAACTAAGGTACTTTTTAATTTCAAATTGTTTTTCCAATTCGAATATTTGCCGTCCGGTGAAAGTGGTTCTTGCCTTCTTTTTGCGGCGGGCATCTGTTGATCCCGAATCGGAATCGTCTTCTGTTGTTTCCATACTAACAGCTGGTGGTGTGGTACTTATTGCTGGCGGGGCCAAACGTTCACGCATTATACTATCACTGCTACCCGATGGACTGACATCAGGAGGTAGGGTAACACTGCTGGCTGCCACAATATGGGCAGAGGACAATTTCTTCTTTTTCATGCTATTTTTCACTGCCGTATGATGGGGATCTGTAATGAAATTAAAAAAAAGAGAAAAACAAAAATGAAAACCAATGGTCAATATATTCACTTTACATAATGCAATATTCCCCCATTCATTCTCTCTCTCTCTCGCTTTCATTTGCTGTCCCTTTTGGCCACTGCACTTTGCTGTGTTAATTAATTTAATGTGTTTATTTTAATTACACACAAACAAGAGATAATTCAATTTTTATTCCGTTTCATCATAATTTATTCAACGCAACTTTGGTCATTTGTAAAATATTCTGTGGTATTTTTATTTGCAATTTGACTTTGTTCGTGGCCAGTGTCTAGCAGCCAGCCAGCCTGTACGCCTGCCATCGGGCCTATCCACATAGCTTTTCATTAATTAATTGCACATGTTTAATTCACAATATATTTATTTTTATGTTTTTGTTTTTATTGTTTTATTGTATTATTTTGTTGTTGCTGTTGTTGCATTGCATGCCATGACCATTATTTAATGTTTGGCTTTTTTTCGAGATTTCCAAACACTTTATAATGGTAAATTATTTAATGGCTTCTCTGTGATGATGATTTTATTTTAATGAGGGAGGAGGGTGTGTTTGCATTTTTTTGTAATTTTAAATGCATTTCATTAATAATTATTTTATAACCAGTTGCAACTGGATATTGTATACATTTTTAAAGTGCAACACATTAGCATTTGAGAAGAATTAATTTATTTATATTTTCCTATGGGTATCAGGGAGCGTATGAATGTTGTCATAACGTATACGCAGACTTATAATTTAATATTTACTTTCCGTTGGAATCTGGGCGTATGAACGTTGTCATAACGTATTCGCAGATTTTAAGTGGGTAGATATTAATCTTTGTAAAAACTCTAAGAGACGTGGATTTTTTAAAAAAGAGTGCATTTTTTAGAAAATTTTTTAAGGCACCCTAAGAGATGTGGAGATGTGTGTGTGTGAATATTTTTCCTAGAGGCGTGGATTTTTTAAAGAATATTTTTTGATGCATTCGTAGAGGCATGGATTTTTTAACGAATATTTTTTGAGACATTCGCAGAGGCGTGGATTTTTTAAAGAATTTTTTTTAGAGACATTCCTAGAGGCTTGGATTGTTTAAAGAATATTTTTTGAGGTATTCCTAGAGGCGTGGATTTTTTAAAGAATATTTATTCCAATAGGCGTGGATTTTTTGAAGAATATTTATTGAGGCATTCCTATAGGCGTGGATTTTTTTAAAGAATGTTTTTGAGGCACTCTATGAGGCGTAGATGTTTAAATAATGTTTTTGAGGCACTCTATGAGGCGTAGATGTTTAAATAATGTTTTTGAGGCACTCTATGAGGCGTAGATTTTTAAAAAATAATTTTGAGGCATACTTAGAGGCGTGGATTTTTTTAAAGAATAATTTTGAGGCATACTTAGAGGCGTGGATTTTTTTGAAGAATAATTTTGAGGCATACTTAGAGGCGTGGATTTTTTAAAGAATATTTTTGAAGCATCCCTGGAGGCGTGGATTTTTTAAAGAATATTTTTGAGGCTTCCTGAAGGCGTGGATTTTTTAAAGAATATTTTTGAAGCATCCCTGGAGGCGTGGATTTTTTAAAGAATATTTTTGAAGCATCCCTGGAGGCGTGGATTTTTTAAAGAATATTTTTGAAGCATCCCTGGAGGCGTGGATTTTTTAAAGAATATTTTTGAAGCATCCCTGGAGGCGTGGATTTTTTAAAGAATATTTTTGAAGCATCCCTGGAGGCGTGGATTTTTTTTTTGAAGCATCCCTGGAGGCGTGGATTTTTTAAAGAATATTTTTTGAGACATTCAAAGAGGCGTGGATTTTTTAAAGAATATTTTTTGAGACATTCAAAGAGGCGTGGATTTTTTAAAGAATATTTTCTGGGGCACTCTACTAGGCGTGGATTTTTTAAAGAATATTTTCTGGGGCACTCTACTAGGCGTGGATTTTTTAAAGAATATTCTCTGGGGCACTCTACTAGGCGTGGATTTTTTAAAGAATATTCTCTGGGGCACTCTACTAGGTGTGGATGTTTTAAAGAATATTTTCTGGGGTACTCTACTAGGCGTGGATTTTTTAAAGAATATTTTCTGGGGCACTCTAAGAGGCGTGAATTTTTTCGAAGAATATTTTCTGGGGCACTCTAAGAGGCGTGAATTTTTTCGAAGAATATTTTCTGGGGCAATCAAATGGAAGTGTAGAATTGTAAGAGGCATAGATTTCTTAAAGAATATTTTTTGAGGCACTCAAATGGAAGTGTAGAATTGTAATAGGCGTAGATTTCTTAAAGAATATTTTTTGAGGCACTCAAATGGAAGTGTAGAATTGTAAGAGGCATAGATTTCTTAAAGAATATTTTTTGAGGCACTCAAATAGAAGTGTAGAATTGTAAGAGGCGTAGATTTCTTAACGAATATTTTTTGAGGCACTCAAATGGAAGTGTAGAATTGTAAGAGGCGTAGATTTCTTAACGAATATTTTTTGAGGCTCTCGAAAAGGCGAGGGTTTTTACAGAATATTTTTGAGGCTCTCTAAAAGCCATGGGTATGTGCAGAATAGTTTTGAGGCTATCATGGGTTTGTGCAGAATATTTTTGAGGCTCTCGAAAGGCGAGGGCTTTTACAGAATATTTTTGAGGCTCTCTAAAAGCCATGGGTATGTGCAGAATAGTTTTGAGGCTATCATGGGTTTGTGCAGAATATTTTTGAGGCTCTCGAAAAGGCGAGGGCTTTTACAGAATATTTTTGAGGCTCTCTAAAAGCAATGGGTATGTGCAGAATATTTTTGAGGCTATCATGGGTTTGTGCAGAATATTTTTGAGGCTCTCTAAAATGCGTGGTTTTGTACAGAATATTTTTGAGGCACCCTTAGAGGCAATTTTTTTAAATAATATTTTTTTAAATAATTTTTTTGAATATTTTTGTTTTAAGAATTGGTACTGTCCGAATGAATTTTTACGTAGATTATACGCAACATGGCCCAATGGCTGGTATAGCGAATTACAGTTGGGACCGTGGGGCGAATGAATTTTGACGTAAATCATACGTAATATAGTTCCATGGTTGGTATAGCTCGTGTCTATTACTGAAACAGTCTACTGTAATCTAGTAAATTGTTATTTCAAGTTTAAACATTTACAACTTACTATTTTTAAAATAACTTCCAAATCACACTCTCCAAAAATTCTCCATGTGTAATAAATTAAAACCCATTATTTTTAAATTCACATTCATTTCTCATATCTGCCTTGCGCATTTGTTTTTTTGCTGCCACTTTTAAACATTTTTATTAGGCAATTAAACAAAACTAAATGCAGCAAATAACTGCGTGTCTGTGGTGTGAATATTTAGCAGAGAGAAAAAAAAAACTAACAACCACAACTTAACCAGGCATTTATGACAAGTTTAATGAACGACAGGCCATTTGGCAAACACCAAACCAAAATACAAAAATCGCAAAAAACAACAAGGCAATTTAAATGAAAATACAAGTTTTTGTTTGTCTGTCTGTAAATGTCAGAACAGTCGAACATTATTTTGATATTTTCATTTATGAAAATTGAAATCCATAAATTCAATTAAATTTGCCACCAATTCCCAATTGGCCAATAACAAGTGAATGCATTTACGGGTGAGTGGTGGGTATGTGTTTGTGCAACTAAACAGTAAATCGTGTTTATCATAAATAATATTTTTAAATTGGTTATATTTGCATTTTTGTTATTGATTTTGTTTTTATTATTGCTGCTGCAGTTGTATAAAATTGATATTATGTCATTTGAAATGTATAAATAATTTGATAAATTTTTATTTATTTGAAATATGTTAGTATTAGAATAATTTAATGTTTATAAAAACTGTTTTAATATTTTGGATGAATAAAACATGAAATAAGTTGAGAAGAATTTTTCTATTACTTTATGAAAAATTTAAAATTTAAAAATTGTTATTTAAAACTACAAAGTTTTTTTCCATAAGTAAAACGAATAAAAGTGTCCTTAGTTTAATCAATAGCCAATTTTTATGAAAAAATTTCCTGATTTCAGGCACTAATATAATTTTCCTTTGTCTACAGGCACTGAAGAATTTTTGTTAGTCAAGAAGAGCATTGCCTAAAAGAAAAGAGGGTTTTGTGAAAAAATATTTTTTTATACAGGAAGATGCGTCGTATAAGTAATGACAATAACCATACGCTCCATAGCATACTCAGTTTGTTCTTAATCATTTAGGAAGGTATTTCTTATCAAAAACTGGTGTTTTTTTCTAATAGGACAATTTGTCATCTGACGCTTATGACATGTTTCATAATGGACATTTTAGTTAAAGGAATACTTGTCTTCAGCCACTTTTTGAACTCAAATTTAATTTACTTTAAGAATTAAAGGGATACAATTTTCTCAGCAGGAACTTCCCCAAAATAAAAACAATATTTTAGACACTAAACATATATATTTTTTTAAATACGACCTCAACTGAGTCTGAGGAGATTTTTTTTACTGAGGGGAAAATATTTAAAATATAAAGAAATCTTGTCTCCTACCGTTGATGATATTTTTCTTAAATGACAACATTTTATATAGAAAACATATACAGAGACTGAGAACGTAATTTTTTCAACATCGAACCACATATTTATTTAGGGCAAGAGGTCGTATAAGTAACTGTAACAGTTATACGCCCCGTAGTCTACCCGGATAACAATATGTCCTTTACTGCCGACTATTTTTTCCCATTGCATAAATGTGTCTTCAGACATTGACAACAGACACTGTAGAATTTTGTCGATATGGAAAATAGCTGTAAGGCTGAGATCAAATATAGAAAAATATATTTTGGGGAAAGGTTGCTCAGGTAAAGACAATAGTTTTACGCTCCATAGTAAACACGAAAATATTTTTCGTGTTTACTATGGATGTCAATTTCTTCCTAATATAAATGTTTGTCCTCGTTTTTTCTAAATGAAGAAATTCTCTTCAGTCTCTGGCTGAGAAAATTAATCAG